GCAAAAAGTGTAGATGTTGAAGTTGCAGAAAGTAAACGTATAGATGTTGAAGTTGAAAGTGAATATGTAGATGATGATTCTGAACCTGAATTTTCCGAATGTTACTATAGTGTCTGGGAATCAACCTCTGTTTATTATCATGTTGATTTTTCTGAGATAATGTGCTAATAAAAGGTTCTTCATATGTGGAATTAATATTTTTCCATATATTATCATTCAACCATCTTGCCGGTATTAACATTACATGAAATAAAGCATTCGGATTCTCTACCATTAACTTAAAGTAATAACGGCAAATAATACTATGTGAAACCAACATTAAACATGTGCACAAATAAGTACCATCATCAAGCATAATAATATGATAGTATAAATCTGGTACTATGTATAGAGCAACTCGTCAAATTTCTTTAATTAATGTTCTTGAAACAGAATTTAAAAGTGTCTTTAAATATATTTGCTGAATATTATAATAATCTTCAATATTTTCTATTGTTTCTTCTTGATTATCTTGATCCTAAATATATAAAAATTTTCATATAGCAGCAAATCGCAATTAAAACTATGAATATAAAACAAACCAAATAAAAAAAAAACTCACTATTTGATCATCATTTAGTCTATCATATACTTCCAGATCTAAGTCATTTTCAAATTTAAAAGCATCATTAATATCCAATTTTTTGCATTTATAAAGTACCAATTCACATATTTGTTTGTGAATTTTTTCAATTATCCGTGGTATATAATATTTATGAATAGTATTGTTAACCTTACTAAAAAACCTCTCTATAATAAATAATTGATGATGATTTATTGATTTATGCTTTTATTCTATAAAGCTTTTATTTAGCGCTTCCTTTTCTATACTAGTTTTAAAGCTTTAACCACATCTGACATGCTAGAGCTAGAGGCAATTGCTCTATGAATAATTGCATTAATTGATTCAACACGCTGTGTTGATTGCATTCTAGCTGTGAATATCTGATTTATAAATACTCTTGCCCAAGACTCCCAGGTTGAGTAAATAGTATTATTTAGATATTGGCTTGTACTTGGATACTTTTCTAACAAAGATTAAAACTGAGATACAAAAATATTAACACACAAAGAATTTCGCATTTTCCAAATTTTTGAACAAATTCTTTAAAATTTGCAACACCAAGTTTAGATTTAAGCCTTTTTGAGTTAAATGCCAAATACAATAAACATGATAAGAATTTTTATATATTGTTTGACATGCCGCATCCATTGTGGGGTCCATATTGGTCATTATGACTTGTAGTTCACAGTTAGTTGTATCTAAGGTTTGTTGTAAGACCTATTCGTAGCTTTCCTAGGTTTATATTTAAAAAAGCTTGTGCTCCTAACTGAGATTTACCATAATTATCAACAAGAACAAATAATAACAGAGGAAAGTTATATTTATTTGTTCTTGAAGTGTTATCATATCAGAATACCATGACCATAAAACTATTTGATTTGCTATTATTCAAAAAATACTACTTAATCGATTACTATCTATATTTATCAAAGGCTGAACGAACATTGTAGGATCTTCTTTTTGCTGTGCAAGTAAAAACTTTAATAAGTAAGATGCATCAGATCCAACAACTTTCTTTTCACATTTAATCTTTTGAATTGCATTTGATAGATCTTGTATAAGAAAGAGTTGATCAAGAAACAAAGGTTGTAGCAAATTCCTTATAGTATATGCATTGCAATATCCATACACAACAGCATATTCAATTTCACTTATTACAGATTCATTAAATTTTCGAAATGCTGGAGCAAATCTCATATTGTCGATATTAATATCATGATTATGTTTAAGGGAAACAAAGGTTATATACACGTAATTGCTTGCTTCTGGCTTACTTAAATTAATATGCCATTTGCAGTCAGTTTTCTTTGATCCTTTATTGCATTGTTGCTCAATTGGCTTCGATTTCTTAGGCTTATACTTTCCAGCTTTCTCACATACATATGTTCTTTTTTTAATTGCACGATCGTCTAAATCATTTGATGCAGTTTTATAATATTCAACTCTATTTCGATCGTCTAAATTATTTGATGCAGTTTTAATATATTCAATTCTATTTCAGTTTACTACAAATCTATTTTGCCATCTATACACCTTCAAGTAGTAGTCAGCAATTGACCAGGAACTAAAATGTGTTTCAACAAATATCTTCAAAATTGGTTTAAGAAATATTTTGTAAGATCTTGTCCTTCTAACTCCAGCCCAAGAATAGGTATATTAATTTTGTTGCTTTTTATATTCTGAAAACCTTAAAAAAAGTTTTTTAAGAAGTTAAGTAAACATCTTTCATATTTTATTTAATACTTATAAATGTATTGACTATAGCTGATTGTCTTTTTATAAATTTACCTTCTACATATTCACTTTCTGGAACCTCATCATCTACATATTCACTTTCAACTTCAACATCTATACGTTTACTTTCTGCAACTTCAACATCTACACTTTTTGC